AATGCACGGCATGTCTACCAGAGGAGAAACGCTGTAGCCAGTCGAGTTAATTAAGAGGATCCAACCTTGACGGACGTAGCCATTGTGCACGCGCGCGCGCGCGCGCGCGCGCACGCTTTTCTCTTCTACGATAGGCCTCGGCGCGCGTGATACCATCCTAAACGTACATTTCTATGTGTATCCAACTAGCAACCCTTCGTTCTTGTCGTTTACCATTTATAGAAGACATCTTTCCTTTTCGAACGTTCACTTATTATCTCTTTTTCTCTTTCTCTCCTCCCTTTCTTTTCTCTTTTTCCTTCTCTATCTAGAAAAAGTTTAATTATTTTCAAAAAGTAAAGAAAGAAATAGGGAAGCTGATGCGAGCAGAATAAAGTTAGCATAGTCTTTCGATCGCTTTATTCAACGTATTGTGCCGAGCCTCGAACGCGATACGGAATACTCTCTACAAGAGCAAGCCAGTTCTGCATAGTTATCTAACGATCGGAAGTACAACGTTAGTCACGGCAGGGGACAAGTTCGTAAGCGTTGCCTCGAGAGTGCGCGTGCGAGACTGTTAAAGAGTTCCTTCGGTTCCTTTATCTCCGAGACCTCCTTTTTCTTTTCTTAATTTCTTTTCGCTTTTTTTTCTTTCTCTCTCTTTTTTTCTTTTCTTTGTTGATTTTTTACGAGGAGGAAACGGCAAGAAAACGAAATAAAGCTGGAGAGAGCGATAGCGCGGCTTGAATATAAAAGGTGGTTCAGCGGTGGCGGCGGCGGCGGCGGCGGAGGCGGCTCGCACGCACCACGCGGAGATATAAAGCCGAGGGGGCGTCTTGGTGACAATTAAGAGGCGAGCGAGGCCACAAATCACCGGGCGGCGAGCTCTAATCACAGCCGCTTGACTACTTTCTCTCTCTCTCTCTCTTTCTCTCTTTCTCTCTCTTACTTATAACTTTTTTTCTTCCCTCTCTTTCGCACGTTTAATCGACCTTTCCGAGTCGCGTTTAAAGACACCGACTCTCTTTGCAGAACCACTCGAAGGTGTGTTGATTCGCACATATAGGAGTTTGATTTATCTTTTTTTTCTTCTTACTTTTGAAGACTTATTACGAAGAATGGTATAAGAAAAGTTTGTTCGTCTTCTGCGAAAGAGCTTTATCAAAAATTGATACCGTTATTAGCTGGAAGGCTTAAAAAAACAACTCGATCAAAAGCACCACGGAATCTATATCAAAGTTCTGGCCGGTCTTTAGCCTTTGGTAATAAATCGAAGATTGCGTCGTTGGAGAAGAGAAAAATGGGATACGCTCGAAGGATCTCAAGTACCGTATACAGGTGCGATTACCGTAGAATCTCGATCCTTACGACGTGCCTTGGGAGACGGAACAGGGTCGAGTCTAGGAGCGTCACCCTTCGAACGCCTTATGCTCTTTTTCTTCCCTTTCTCGACACTCTTTTCCTTATTTCACGGTACCGAGAATCGAGGATCGAGAGAGAGAGAGAGAGAGAAAAAGAAAGAGCGAAGCAACTTGTATATACAGGGTGTCCCATTTTAATCGATCGAAGATAATATGAAACTCATTAATGATAAAGAAATTGGAAAGAAACTTTGTCCATTTCGAGGGTACTCGTTAACACCTTACACCTACATCGTATTCGTGCAAACAGATTTTCTTCTACCGCTATTTAATGATATTCAGGCGGATCGATTAATATGGAACACCCTGTACGGTCGCGAAGAGATTGCTATGCTAATTCCATTAATGTCGCATGAATTATGGTCCGACCGGGTGTGGACGCACGTATTCTTCTTTCCAAGAGTTTCTTAACGTTCGGTGAACTACGAGGGGATACTTAAAAGAGGCGGAAGAGTCGACGATGTCCGACGAGTAGAAACGATATTCCTACGCGCCTTGCCGACTGGCGCGTATCTTAAGACCCGATAAATTGAATGCGCGCGAGCGGAACTGGCTGGTTAAGAGAGGGAGATCGGTGAAAACGAATGAATGCTGAGTGCGCACGAGTAACCACGTTATCGTTCGCGAGAGAACCATCGAAGAAGCGGTCTCGCGACGGTCGGCAGGTGAAAAAAAATCTCCTAATCTCCGGTAATTGAGATTCGATACCAATTAAAAGCGAACGCACGAGCGCGAGTAAAGTCGCGCGAGTCTCTCTTCGTGGTAATATCTCGGTATTAAAATCATTCTTACATTCTTGCCTTTTTTTTATTCCTTTTTGTATTTCTTTTTTATTTTCTTTCTTTCTTTTTTTATTTCTGTTTTTTCTTTTTCCTTCTTTTTTTTTTCTTTTTTTTTTTTTCTTTTTCTTTTTCTTTTTCAACTCGCAAGGAAACGATAAAGAGGACTCTTTTGGTACTCGTTTTATAGAAATTTCCGATCAAAGCTAATACACCCTTTCGTAGTTGTTTTATTTTTACACGAACTTACGAAAGATATAGATGTAATTAAGAATTTAATTAGATAGGCCAGAAAAAGGGAACGATTCAACGTCTGCTCGTAGGTAGATAGATACCGTTTCTACTTGGAAATACCAAAGACAGGATATTTGATCGTGAGCAAGTTCTTCCTCGTCGGTTAATTCGCACCCACGCTCGATCATTAACGTCGATTCCCGACCTGCCTCAACACCTCGCATTATGCGCTCTGAATCACAGCGCTCGCGTTCAGGATCGTTCTGTCTCGATGGCCTGAAGGTGGCA